GGGCGGCCAGAAAGCCAGAGCCGGCCCTGGCCATAACACAGACACAGCCAGTGCCGGAGGGCTCTCCCCTGACATCCATCAGGCAGCAGCACTGCCCTCGGCACTCACCGCCCACCACCCTGGAGAGTGCCCTTCCGTTCCAGCTTCTTCAATATAGCAATGCAATACCATCCAGCTGTGTAGTGCCCTGATCCCCTGGCCGGCTGCCTGGCCAATAGCATGGAGAGAGCTACAGGACAGAGAAGGGCTATGAGGATGACTGGAGGAATGGAGAACCTACCTTACGAGAGGGGACTCAGAGCTTGGCTAATCAAATGAAGGCTGAGGGGAGATAGGATTGCTCTCTATAACTACAGCAGAGGGATAAGTAACTCCTCTCCCTCCCTGATGTTTAAATTAAGGGCCAGTGTTGGCACAAGAACAGATGGCTATAATCTGGCCCTCGAGAAGTGTTGGCTTGAAATTAGATGACAGTTTCTAACCATCAGAGGAGTGAAGTTCTGGAACAGTCTCCCAGGGGGAGTAGTGGGGGCAAAACTAACTTGTTTTAAGACTCAGCTTGATAAGTTTATGGAGAGGATGGTGTGATGAGATTGCCAACAATGGCATGGGGCCTAGCCATGTCTGCTAAAGGCAACTATCTCCAATGGCTGGGGAGGGACACTAGATGGGGGAGGGCTTTGAGCTACTAGACAGAATTCTAGTGTTTGGCTGGTGGGTGTTGCCCACATGCTCCGGGTCTAACTGATCGCCATATTTGGGGTGAGGAAGGAATTTTCGCAAGGTCAGACTGGCAGAGACCTTGGGGGGTTTTCACCTTCCTCTGCAGCATGGGGCACAGGTCACTTGCTGATTTGAACTCAAGTAAATGGTTGAGTGTCTGTAACTTGAAGTCTTTAAATCAAAATTTGAGGCCATCACTAACTCAGCCAGAGGCTAGGGGTCTATTACAGGAGGGGGTGGATGAGGTTCTGTGGCCTGCAATGTGCACGTCAGACTAGATGATCATGATGGTCCCTTCTGGCCTATGAGCCACAGGTGCTGGGTGACTGCTGGTTCATGTTCAAGGAGCTGTCTTCAGGCCTGCATACCAACAGCAAAATCCCTTCTCGCTCCGCCGGTGCTACTTAGCACCCATTTCCACACACATTCTGTTGTTGGGCACTCCATTCGGGGGCAGGAGGGGGCAGTTTTGGCTCAGCCCACATGGCCCTTTCAGCAATGAGCTGACTGAGTGGCCTGTGATGACAAGGCTGAGAAACAGGGGAAGCTCTAGGTTAGCTAGCTAGAGTCTGGCCCACTCAGCACTTTTCCATTAACCCCTGCTCCTTCCAGGTCCCTCCAAGGGCTTGACTGCCCAGAGCAGTGCAGGGACAGAGAGGCGAGCAAGAAGCTCTCTCACCCCAGCTGCACAGGAGTCACTAGCCAAGTCCCTACCTGTACCTGCCTCTCCCCAGGAATCCTGGCTCCACAGAGAGAGAGACAACGGCTGGGCCACGAGCAAAGCATGTCCCATCCTCCGTATCATGCACAAGGAGCAATGCTGGGAACTGCTAGGCTGAGCCGCTCCACATCACCCCCACCTGCAGGGCTGAGGCTTAGCCACCATACTCCAGCCCCAAGCCCCAGCCAGGCTATTCGGGCCGGGGGGGTTAACGTTGGGGTGCGGCTGGGTTCTGGGTCCAGTTTCCTTTACAAAGCTACGTCAGGCCAGTAACATTAAGTGAGTGGCTCCTGAAGCAGGGGGCCTGTCCCTTAGGTAGCTCTGCTCATACTCCCTGGAGCCAACTCTCAGCACTTGGGGTTTCCTTTTTCCACTCACGCTGGGCTCTATGCACCTTACACCGAGCAGCTTACAGCAGGCTGGGGAAGTTCTTCTCAGCAAGAGACTGCTTCCATTGCAGAGCCGCCGCCCCCATCCCCACAAAGCCCCCCATTGCTGCCCTCTTTGTGTACTGCTGGGGCCCGACTCCCTAATACATTCTGGCTGCTCCAGGAGCGCAGCAGTGGCTCTTTGCCAGAGCACAATGCCGTAGAGAGAGCACCTTACGGGGCTGCTCCTCTGCATCCATGGCAAACAAGGGAAGGAGGACGGAGCTGGCACAGTGAAACCCGCAGGGGTTTGCCACTGGCTCAGGAACGGGCAAGGCCCCCACAGGCCCTAGGGAGAAGAGCAGGTCTATGCCCTGGCCAGCCAGATCCACCCAGGGGAATGAATTTCAAAGGGCCTCCGTAGAGGTTTTGGGATGCCCCTTTGGAGAGCTCAGGAAATAAGTGAAGGCGACTTAGCAGAGTGTGGGCAGGGCGTTTGTTCCAGGGATCCACTCCCTGACCAGGATCCAGAAGGGGGAAATGCCCATAGCCAGGCACTGGGCACTCAGGCAGGGGGGTTTCAGACCTCACTGCTTGGCTGGTACAGCATCTGGCACTGCTCTGCTCCAGGTGTCAGTCACACTCCATCCCTTCCCTAGCATCTCCCAGGATGCTTCTTTGATCTGAAGCCCCATGTACCCTACTGGGGCAGCATCTGAATAGACAGTAAGGCCCCACAGCGACAGAAACGTGGGGGCTAGAGGTAGACAACAGGCCAGCGTGACAGTGATTTTAAGACTTTCCCATGTACTGAGCTGAAATGATGCAGAGAATGAGAAGCAGCTAAGGGACGATTCTTGCATATTCCACCTCCAAATGGACACTTCTAACAGAAACCCCGCTGTACAACATGAGCCCTTCATGTATCACCCCCATCCAGACAGCAATGTGCTGAGACAGTTGGCTCCATTGAGCTTCTACTGACAGTGCTCAGGGCCAGATACCAGGAAGAGCAGGATCTGTGAAGGGGGTAGAACCCCAGGACTCCTGGTTTAAAAAAAAAAAAAATCAGACCCCCTGACCTGTGTGATGCCAGAAACTCTCCAGAACCCACGTAACTTGTCAGGCCTCCTTTGCATTATGCTAGCATCATGGGTCCAACTGAAATCGACAACCCATTGTGCTAGGCGTTGCACAGACACCATGCGACAGTCCCTGTCCTCAAGAGCATTTCTAAACAGACATGAGAAAGGGTGGGAAGGGGAAACTGAGGCACGAGGTCTTGCACAAGGTCACCCAGCTGGGAAGCGGCAGAGCCAGGAATAAACCCACAGTCCGAGATGCTGCCTCTCCATCACAAAGCAGCTGAGACAGGTACAGTGCCACTACTTGTCTGCTTTTCCAGGTCACCCCAGGGGAGCAAAGGGTCCTAACTCATCAGAGCGGGATATGTGATAAACCTGGGTGACAGACAGCAAGGACCACATCCCCCACATAGTCAGACCATGCCACTTGTTGTTCAAAACTTTTATTGTCAGCAATAATAACAGGAAATCAGTTTTGCTGGCTTGTTTCAGGTGCGTTCTGGTTGGCCTGTACCTGGTGGGAGCACGGCAGCTGGCCCTGCAGGTTACATTAGCCTAGGGCGACAGGCCAGGCTGGAGGCAGAGCGCAAGCTCCGTAGGTTTGCTCCCAATTCCCTCTTAGGGGGTCAGTGTGAATGGCCAGTGTGGTGATCTGGGGGGTGACCTGGGGAGTGCACACCATTCACCGAAGCAGAAAGCACATTTCTATCCGCTTATAAATAGACTAAAAACACATACACAACAAACTGTCTCCTCCGAGCGGGCGAAGGCGGGAGCCTTGCACACTTCACACCACTCAGCCGACTTCCAGCCATTGTCCCAACACCCCTGACTCTCCCACCAGACCCTCCCAGCCCATTCCCTCACCAGGGCCATAGTGTGCTGTATGGCACAGACAACGGACCTGCACTCCCTCCTCCCACACAGGCTAGGGCCATGGACTCAGACCCTAGCATTTATCTGCAGGGCCCATGTCACAGGGACCCTCCCATGGTCCTGGATGCAGCGCACTGTGAAGTTCAGTGTTACTGGGGGTGCAGGCTGGGGTACATGTGCACCCACAGCAGCACCCTCAGCACCCCGGCGAACACATTTGGGATCACACGGATTGACCTCTCCTTGCAGCACAGTGCGGAGAAGCAGCTGTTTAGGCAGCCCCGAGAGTGCACTAAGTTGCTCCTAGCTGTTGGGAATGGGCATGCAGTCTACATACCAGGGGCTGGCATCACACATGTACATCCCAGCTGTTCCCAGAGTCCAAGCTCCCAATTCTGCCACCTGCTGCAGAGAACAAGGCGGGCGGGTGGGATTCCTGAGCAACACAGCAGAGCGCACGGATGCCAGAAATGGGACGCCCATGCTCATCATCAGCAGGCCGGCGTGGTCACCTACAGCAGGACTGAAAGGAATATAGGCCATATGGCCTCGTAACCCACCAATAGCTAGGAAGCTGCGCCTGGGCTCCGCCCATTGCTCCAGGCAAGGACACGAGCAGGAGAGCAACTACATGGTGTGTGCACAGAGCTCGCAGACGGAGGGCACAATGGAGCCCAAAGCATTCTCCCTGGGCTTGAAGACAACACCTGCTTAAGCAATGACTCCCACACTTAACACAACCATTTCTGAGGTGCAAGACTGCCGTCCTACACAGCCAGTGGGCCATCTGTTCCTGATTGGCCTCCCCAGAATGCCAGCAGCCACTGGGCAGACCCAGCTGGAGGGCTGGCAGGCCATGGGACCATTTCCTCAAGGCTGGGCGACTCATGGGAGGGACACAAAGGGGGGCACCAGCTAAAGGGGGCATGTGATCTCCCCACGTGACATCCCCCCATGTGACTCCTCCCTGCACCCAGCCTGGGGGACCCACGCTCTCCCCGCCCCCACCCCATGTTACCGGGGGGTTGGGGGGGCGAGCTCTGTCCTCCTGCTTGCGACTGGAACCACAGCGGTGAAAGGAGCTGCTGTTAGATATGGATGATCTGGGACTGAGCTTGTCCCAGCCTGCAGCGCAGCAGGAGCCTGCACTGGCTGCACATCATCCAGGGCTTGCCGATGGGCTCGCTTGGACAGGGCTACCATGAACTGCAATGCCAAGCGCATTCCAGTCATGCCCAGGAAGCCTCCATCCCATGGCTGGCAGGGGGCTGAGGGCCTGAGGGATAAGGAACCCCATGGGAGAGCTCAGGAGAGTCAGGCACATTGGGAGCAACCAGAGACACTTTCTACTTCTGTTTTTAACATCAAAGCTTATATTATATTATAAAATCCAGAGGGCGGGACTGCCCCGCCCAGAATACAAACAGCAGGGAGCACAGCTCTGTGGCCAGCCAGGCTCAGGGTTGCTCCAGCGCACGGCTTAGCCGTCCTGGAGCTAAGCTACTTCTACAGAGGGGAGCTGAGGAAAGAGGGAGCAGTGAGAGTGGCCTGTGTCGGGCGGGCGGGCAGGAGGGAGGCAGCGAGCTCCTTAGGGCTGGTCCTTTGCTTCGGGGTCTTTATCGTAGATGTAACTTCCAACAGCTCCAGTGTTCACTCCTGCAACAGAGAAAGAGCCACACGTAAGGGCAGGGCCAGGACAGCCAGGCAGGGTGCTGAGCGCAGATACCTCCCCTTAGCCTGGGGGCTGCACAGAGCCCCAGCCAATACGGCCATGGAGGCCGGGGACAAATGGATGGGGAAGGTCAGAAAAGGGAAGGAGGGTGAGTGGAAGGCCAAGAGCCTGGCCATCCCTGCCTGGGATCCAGTAGTGCAAGCAGCCTGCCCTCCTACATTAGGGAACCACGCCCCATCGCCGCTCCACAGGCTGGGAGCATAGGGAACCCAAGGGGGGAGCAGATAGTCAGGAAGGGCCAAAGGAGAAGTGGGGGCTGAGCAGTAGGTGAAACTTTTGCATAAGGGCCCTCGCCAAGTTGCCAGAGGATCCTTGCCCAGCTGAGCCCCATGCACCCCCTGGCCCTGGCCCCTAGAGGGAGCTAGGGGACTGTGCTCAATCTGTGTTCTGCTGGCTGGGATCCAAAACGCAGCAAGCCTCGGGTTTCATGTGCGGGCCCCACAACACTTCCCCGTCCGGGGCAAAGGCTGTAGCGCAGTTAGCAAAGGGCTGCCCTCCCTCCTGGAGCCTCTGGGTGTATTGGATGTGCCGGGGCACCCGACGTACCCCCCTGGGCTATCTGCTGCAGGGCCCTAGAAACCGATACACGGCACGGCCAGCCGGGGGGATGGGAGAATATCCTGCAGAGGCAGCGTGCCCAGTCACTGCTGACAGGTGCCCCATGGCCCCCTCCCTCTCCCTACACTCCCACCTACCCCTCTCCTTAGGGATTCATTGAGGAAAACCCATTCCCCCACCCTCCATTCTGGCCTCTGGACACTTCCTGCCCTTCCTCCAGCAGCTCCGGTTCTGTGCAGCACACTCACCCTTTGGCCCAAAGAGGATCCCGTAGCAGGGCTTGTGGCAGTACGGCTGCTCGTCGTGCTATGAGGGGGCAAAGCAAGACACACGTCAGTGCCACCCAACCCAAGAGATGCAGAAGAACACGATGCAGATGGCCACTCACCCATGCCCTTCCCCGGGGCACAGCCCTGCCACGGCAGTGCATTGGGGGGGGCTCCCCAGCATCCCACCCCAACTGCACGGGGCTCCTGGAGAGACATCATTCAATTTGCATTGCCCTGAAGCTCCCCATGGGGCTGGTTTGCTACTACAACCCTGACCCCCCGACAGCTCCGCTAATGCCCCCAGGCCTGGGCTGCTGTCTCCCTGCTAGTGCAGCACTCGCTCTGCCCACCTGCCTCTGGAACCCGCCCTCCATGGCACAGACAGTCCCTCACACCTGGAGCACAGAGCACACACTCCATCTCACTGATGTCCTGCGTCGCTTGGATCCACAGAGCCTTTGTGCTGCGAGCGGTCCAGCAGCGCTGAGCAATGGGAACCTCCCCCACGTGTCCGCATTCGCCTTCCAGCAGCCAGGGCTGGCCCCAGCCGCCAGGGCTGCCCCAGCCAACAGCCCCAGCTTTCCATTTAAATCCAGTCTGTCCTCTGGTGGGCACGCCTGGGATCGCTGGAGCACGCGATGGCAGGAGAGGTGCTCAGCTCACAAATGTGGGGAGGGCTCCCCAGCCCCGGGATGAGATTACAGGGTGCAGCTATTCCCGTGAGACCATCCCGGGGGGGGGGGGGGGGGGAATCAGAACGTCATGGGGCTCTGCCCTGCCCCTGCTGCAGCCGCTGCCACATGGCCATGCAGGCCGTGAGCATTGTCTACTCACTGCACACAGGTGTCTGTCCAACACAGGCCATGCCCTTTGTGCAGCCCTCCCCTCCAATGCTGCAGGGCCAGAAATGCTGCCTGACTGCGGCATCCTCCCAGGAGAGAGGCCAAGGCCTTGGACCTGTCAGAGCAGGAGCAGTCAGGGGTGGAAGGGCCTGCAGCGGTGGTTGGAGTCTGGATGCAGACAGTGATTGGAGTCTGAAGTTCCCCATCTTCCCCAGCAACAATGGGGAGGCAGAGGTAAAAGCCTTCCGGCCACCAGAGGCCCAGGACTGCTCCCAGTAGCCCAGCACTCCACTCTCACCACACCTAGCGCATGGGAGACGCCGCGACAGATCAGCTCTGGGGGAACGGACCCGCTACAGTACAGCTTTTATCCCTTTACACCGCACGAGCCCAGGCCTGGCTGTTGGCATACACGATTCTGGCTACTGGCCTGGGTCTGCCACCTGGAGTCCCCAAACCACCAGACAATTAGCCAGCCAGAGTGCGCTCAGATGACTAACTCTGTCTTGGGGGTCCGTGGCCACTGCAGTCCCTGGTGATCCCCAGGCGCGGGCAGTGAGCACCAAGGACCGGGGAGAGGTCACAGGCGGAAAAGCCATTGGCCAAGCTGGGTGAGAAGCAGGAGGCTGTGCCCAGCTGAGCAGCAGGTGTGTGAAATAAGGTGGGAGGGTCAGATGGGATGCTAGCCAGGGGTGCAAGGACTCTGCTCCAGAGCTGAGGCCAGCTCCCGCAACATATCCCTTTCTCTTGTCTGGGTGATCAGCTTTATCATGTGGGTCACACCAGGTCTCCCAGGATCACAGCTGGGTGCGGCCTAACTCCAGACACTGCCCCCTGGGGTACGGGCCATTACTGCTGCAAAGACAGCAATCGGGAGAGGGGTAGGAGAATGAAATATCCAGTCCTGAGGTCTAACCCCATCCCTCGCTAGCTTGAACATGCACATGCACCAGTGTGAGTCTCCTGCGGAGGTGTGATGGGAGGGAGGTGGTTGCGGCGAAAGCCTGCACCAGAGCACACATGGGGCAAACAGATCACAGCATGTGCTCAGTCCTTACCTCCGCGTGGCCGCCAGGGGTCAGAGTCTTGCCGCAGCGCTCGCAGCGCAGGCAGGGGCGGTGCCAGTCCTTCCCCAGTGAAGTCACCTTCTCAGCTGGAGCAGAGACAAGAAGGGACATATTCCAGTGGGAGCTCTTCATTCCCTGCCTTGGCGTGAATATGTCTGAGCCGGGGCTTCCACAGCATGAGCTCGCCCCCTGGCAACAACCCGCACAGCTACAGGCAGGCTGAGACCACCCCGATGGGGCGCCCAAGGGATTGTGGGAAATCTTGCAGATGTCCCAGTTGGCCACACTAGGGGAGCATTCACCTGAGAACTGCCCCTTCTTAGCCATGGGGCAAGAGAGCCTCAGTGCTCACACACAGCTCCCACAGCTACCAGGCTCCTACCCCCTAGCCCTGCTGCCCAAAGAGCCCGTGTCTAGGTCAAGCCAAGAGCACAGGCGCCAACTTTTTTTGGTGCCAGTCGGTGCTCATGCCCCCCTGGCTCCACCCCCGCCCCAACTCCACCCCTCCCTGCCCCTATTGAACCCCTCCCCAAATCCCTGCCCTGGCCCCGCCTCCTCCCTCAAGGGCACCGTGTTCCCCCTCTCCCCCCTCCCTCCCAGGCTTGCTGTGCGAAACAGCTGTTTCGTGGCACAAGTGCTGGGAGGAAGGGGGGAGAAGCAGGACCCGGCGGCGTGCTCAGGGGAGGAGGCAGAGGTGAGTTGGGGCGGGGAGCTGCCGGTGGGTGCAGAGCACCCACCAATTTTTCCCCATGGGTGCTCCAGCCCCAGAGCACCCACGGAGTCGGCGCCTATGGCCAAGAGGGAAACCTGCTGGCAGTAGTGTGACGGCTGGGCCAGACTGCTCTTGAACCAGGCCTCCAGTGGAGAGGGTCCGCACAACACCTTCTCCATGGGCAGGCTTTGCTCTTGGAGAGCTGACGTGTTGCCAGCATCCCATGAAACCTTTGCAAAGAACAGCTTAGGCCTTTACTGAAGGGTCTTTTCCTTCTTCCTTGAGGGAGTCAGCTGCACCCATACCCTGACATGCTGCTGAGCGTGATACTGAGACTTAATGAAAGCTGTCTCCTACCCAACCACAGCAGCAGCAAAGGGGTAAAATCAGCCTCCCCCGGTACTCTATTCAGCCCTCGGAGGTGACAGCTCCAGCGCCTCCCGGGGACCATGTAAATACTAACCTAGGCAACAAAAGAGCCAAATTCCCTGTTGGCAGAATGTCACTGACTTCAGAGAATGTGGCCCAAACCTTTGTAACATTAGTGGAAGTCATGAGATGGCACTGTTACAAACAGCCTTACAAATTCTGCGTGGGAGACTGTATGAGCACGTGTGTTGGAGACATGCCTATTGTTAGTTGTGGTGCAATTCCATTTAGAAGGTAAACATGTTACTACCTGTACAGTCTGTTCCTCTACCTAGAGCGTTTTATCGATTTAGCTAAAAATGTGATTTTAAACCAATTTAGACTCACCCACACTTAGCCTCCCAGATACCTCCTCCCCAAAGGCCCCACAACCCCCTCCACTGAAGCAGTCACATCCTCCAGGCTCCCCATATCAGCAGCTGAAACCCTCCCGCAGAGGAAGGACTGCCTTATGGTTAAGGCTCCCAAGTCTCAGTCCAGTGACCTGGATTCCACTGCTGGAATGCGACCTTGGGCAGGTCACATAACCTCTCTGGGCCTCAGCTTCCCAGCAGTAAAACAGGGCTAGTAATTCTTTGTTGGCCATTTCCACCGAGTCTAAGTGCTGTGGGGCAAGGCCTCTCTCTTCCTATGTGTATGTGCAGCACCTAGCCCTGATCTCTGTTAGGAACGTCTCACAGTACAAACAAGTGACCCTGGGGCATAAGCAGGGAACACTGAGGGAGCCAGCCTGCCCCGGTCCTTACCGAAGTAGACTTTTTTGCCGCAGCGCGGGCACATGTTGGGCTCCCCGGTGAAGGTGGTGACACTGGAGGCTGAAAGACAGGAGAAGAGTTTCTTTAGGATCCTAAAGAAATCAGCTACGTGGACCCCCCCACACACCCCAGTGCTACTGCACCACCTGTGGGCCCTCTCTTCAGCTACATTCAGAGCTCACCATCTCCAGCTGGCAATCAACAATGAACCGTGCCTTTAAAAGGGGGCTTTCATTCGCTGCAGAATCAACAGGCTAAAGCTACCATTAAAGATCAGAGCCAGGCCAGATCTACGCTTTAAATGTACACTGGTGTAACTACGTCGCTCAGGGTTGTGAAAAATCCACACCCCAGGAGCGCTGCAATTATACCAACTTAACATGTGGTGTAGACAGTGCTAGATCGACTGCAGAGCTTCTCCCGTTGACAGAGCTATCGCCTCTCACGGAGGTGGATTAACTACGCTGATGGGAGACGTGCTCCCATTGGTGTAGTAGCATCTTCGCTGCAGCGTTTTAAGTGTAGATCTGTCCCCAGTCTCTTTAATGAGTGTAGGGCCTGCATTAAACAGTGCCCTTCCTTCTGCCCTGCATCCTCCACCAGACGAGATCACAGCCCATTGGCGCATGTCATTATCTGCTTTTGAAGGTGGGGTGGGGGAGGTAGCTCATCGGTGACTGAGTGACGGCTCTGTTGCAAATAGCATACGGTCATGGTCATTTCTGTTAAGCAGATTAGGTTGGGTGGAACATGGAGATAACACCCTCAGGGCTAACAAGGGGGGGCTGCAGCATGGGAGATGCACAGCTAGGGATGCTGGGGAGAGAGACAGCCAGGGCAGCGTGCGAGGGGAGAAAGACCTAGGGCTGGTGAAAGATGTGGAGGGGCAGATGCACAACAAGGGCAGAGGGTGAGAAAATTCAGGCAGGAGCTCCTCACAATGCTCTTTAATCCCCGAGGGTACGTCTTCACTGCAGTTAGACTGAGCGAGAGAAGCCACCCTGGGAAACAACATTCAAGTGACACACAGCATCAGGTTAGCAGCTGATGAGCTGCACTAATGCAAGCAGCAGCCGTACCCCCAAGGGGCTAGCCACTTAGAGTTCAAGCCCCACTACACTCAGGTTAAGGGTTTGTGCACGTGGATGAAGCTTGAGTTACGGTGCAGTGAAGACATAGGCCTTCAAGGGCACCTGGGAGAATTCTGCGGGAGCAAACCCAGTGACGCACTTTAGCTTTCAGAGCTGGCAGGCAGGCCAAGGGTGGGTGAATCCACACTGGGGATATTCACTGGCAACAGCCAGGCTACCCCCATGCGACGACTTTGTCACATTTGCTTTATAAGCATCTCAGCAGCAGCCAGAGCAGACGAGCTCTCAGCAGGTCTATGAGCCAGCTCACTCTAAGGGGTTTCACTCTGAACTGGTTTGATGCCAGTCTGGACCTGGACAAGCTGATATAGTTCTGACAGTCCTGCTGTTACTATCCCTTAGTGCCTTCTGAGCTACCCCAGAACACACTGCTTCTGGGAGCTTTGCCAGGAACTGTGGGGTAGGTACCCAAAGGGCACCGCATTGGAAACAGCTTCCAACAGGGCTAGCACGGACACAGGGCAATCCTGCAAGGGCTCTTTCAGCAGCTCAGCAAGGCCAGCGAGGACACACATGCTCCCTGGGCTCAAACCTGCTCAACCCCCTACTATAGCACTGACCCAGCTAGGGTGACCAGACGTCCCGATATTTGCTTGTTTGTCCCGCGTCCCGACCAATGTTAGGTCGGGACACTGGACAAACAAGCAAAGGCTCCAGAGCCCGGAAGGGCTCGCGCCCCCCCCCTCCCCGACTCCGCTCCCTCCTTCCCCCATTGGCTCCCTCCCCAAATCCCCACCTCTTCCCCAAGCACGCCATTCCTCTTCCCTCCACAAGCGCTGGAGATGCAGGGGGAGCGCAGGGCCGGGGTGAGTGAGAGTCCGGCCTGGCGCCGAGCGCAGGCAGGACTCAGTCAGGCGGTACCTGGAGGGAGAGTAGGGGGGCGGCCCACGGGGCCAGGTGGCAGCGGCTGTTCTCCCCACCTGGACAGTGGGACTCGGGAGCAGCCGCTGCTGCAGCTCCTACTGCCGCGGGGGGAGGAAGCGGCCATGGCGCTCGGCGGCTGCGGCTCTGGCGCCCAAACTCCCTGAGCCCGGGCCTGTTGCGGGGACCCAGCAGCGCGCACGCTGCGGGCGCCCAGCCCCTGGCCAGTCGCGTCTGGGCTGGCTGCCCAGCTGGTGCAATCCTGCAGCGGCCCTGGGGCAGAGGCATCGGCAGCCCAGCCCCGTTCGTTTCCCTGTGGGACCTGAGCAGGACAGGGGGGCTGGGGCCTGCTGCCCCCACTCCGGGGCCGCCCGCGGGATTGTACCAGCTGGGCAGCAGCCCAGACGCAACTGGCCAGGGGCTGGGCGCAGCGTGCGCGCTGCTGGGTCCCCGCAACAGGCCCGGGCTCGGGGGTTTCGGGTCCGGGCGCCAGAGCCGCAGCCGCCGAGCGCCATGGCCGCTTCCTCCAGCCGCGGCACTAGGAGCTGCAGCAGCGGCTGCTCCCGAGTCCCGCTGCCCAGGTGGGGAGAACAGCTGCCGCCTGGCCCCGCGGGCCGCCCCCTTACTCCCCCTCCAGGTACCGCCCGACTGAATCCTGCCAGTGCTCGGGGCCAGGCCGGACTCTCACTCACCCCGGCCCCGTGCTCCCCTGCGTCTCCAGGGCCTCCCTCCAGCGCTTGCGGAGGGAGAAGGAAGGGGGGGGGGGGGTGTTTTTTTGCTCTGCCGCCTTCTTTTTTTTTTGCTCCGCCCCCCGCGTCCCGATATTTGACCTGGGTGATCTGGTCACCCTAGACCCAGCCCTTGGGGGTCGGGTCAGCGGGGACATATGGGCTAGTCTCTGGAAAGACCACCACCAGAGCACAATCAGGCCCACCGTACCATCATCCAGGCCATGGTGTGGACCCACATCTACCTGAATGCAGGCTGTAGCAGCTCCTATCTGGAGTGACAGGGTCCTTCTGGAGAGTCCCACAGTGACATGTGCACTGTGTGCTATGGATGCCCCCTAGTGGTCATTCCAATAAGTACATGCAAAGCAGAGGGAGCACCCAGAATCGCATCAGTGCCTCATTCCACTCACAGCCGAACTTCGCTGCCATTGCACTAAGTCCCTGGCTACGCAGCAGCTAGTGGCACCAAGTGCAGGTCTGAACAAGGGCCATGAAGTCTTAGCTACTGCCCCCACCCGGCCCTCCCTTGCCTCATCTGCCCCCCTTGCCGGAGTTCCCCGGTCAGCTGGCAGGGTTCTCACAGCAGAGCGCAGAGCCATGCTGGCTTTCCAGCCTCTTGTCCCCTTCGGCACTCACCTCTGCTGGGCCCCTTCGGTGGACCACTGACTTTCTTCTCTTCTACCTTCGAAACATGCTCAATGGGCCTCAGAGCCGGCTGCTCTTCCATCTGAGGCTTCTCATAGATATAGGAGCCAGCTCCACCAATATTCACACCTGCAATGGGAGCATCAGTGTTTGAGGCTGTTGGATCCAAGACGCCCTGTGGGCTTTCCTCCTCTCCCAGGGCACAGGGCCATTACGAAAGGCAAGCCTTGGCCAGCCTGCACTCCCAGCTCCAGCTGGAGCCGCCAGTCTCTCCAGGACTCCTGTTCTGCTGGCCCAGAGACACGTCGTCTCACTGCACCTTCCCCAAGATGTACAGCTGGGAAAGGGCCATGTCTGCAGCACACTACAAATGGCCTCCTGGCCCCTCTCCCGTCCACGAGCTGGAGTTAGTCACCACCACAGCTCTGCCCCATGTGGCTCTCTCCTGGGACTATTTTACCTCCTGGGAGGCGATGCTGTCTGAGTGACCAGCCCTTCCTGTGGTTTGCAGGGGAGCTGTCGTGACTTTTTCCCTGAAACATCTAACCTCCAGCTCTGTGAAGAGCAAGTTCCTCTGAACTCACTGCTGATCTGGAGCCGCTCAGTGTGGGGTTTAGGGCTGTGAAGCGCTGAGATGGTGGCTCTTTGGATTCCCCTGGAAGAATCCCTCACACAGCTTTGGCCTGTGCTGCTCTGAGTCTGGGGCAGTTGTCAGGGCCCTAAACTCTCCTGTTAAAACCTAGGATAGGAGAAGTACTCTGAATAGCTGCGTGAATCACTGCAGCCCTGAAAATGGGCAGCATTCATCTTTCTGCCTCTGGGCGTCCATTTCTCATATGAAGGGGAGGCTGGTCAGGAGGCATACGTACCTTTTGGTCCGAACAATGTTGCATAGCATGGCTTGTGGCAGAAGGGCTTCCCGTCATGCTGAGGGAGAGAGAGAAGGGGCATTAGGAATGGAGGTTAGCAGGGGCTTTCCCCCTGGCATCTCTAGTGCCAGACACCAAACCCCGGGACATACTAGCCGCCATATCAGGCATTACTGAGAGGCGGGAGCTTACATTCCTTAAGTGTCTGTAAAATATACACAAAGAGACAAAAAGGGAATGAATTTGTAGACCAACATTGAGGGAGTTCTGTTACACATAACAGTCAAACAGTTTATATAGAGAGGAAGAGCATTCTGGGAAAGGGGAGGGAACTTCACAGCAAGAGGTACTGCACTCTCTCTCTTATGTACAATGTTCCTCACAAAAGACCTCCAGCCCTGCCCAAGAACACCTCCCATTGCCCACCATTAGCTTCAGCTAGAGCAGGGGTGGGCAAACAGCGGCCCGCGGGCCACATCCAGCCTGCCCGTCGATTTAATCCGGCCCTCGAGCTCCTGCTGGGGAGCAGGGTCTGGGGCTTGTCCCACTCCTGTGCACCAGCCGAGGAGCGGGGTTGGCAGCTGCTCCACCCGTGCCTGCCTCAGCTCCGCACAGTTCCGGGAAGCAGTGGCATGTCCCCTCTCCGGCTCCTATGTTTAGAGGCAGCCAGGGGGCTCCACTCGCTGCCCCCACCCAAAGTGCCGCCCCCCGCAACCCATTGGCCGGGAACTGTGGCCAATAGGCGCTGCAGGGGCGGCACCTGTGGATGGGGCAGTGCGCTGAGCCGCCTGGCCGCGCCTCCGTGTAGGACCCGGAGGGGGGACATGCCGCTGCTTCCGGGAGCTGCTTGAGGTAAGCGCCACCCGGAGCCTGCACCCCTGAGCGCCCCCCCTGTCCCAATCCACTGCCCCAGCCCTGATCCCCCTCCCACCCTCCGAACCCCTTGATCCCAGACCGGAGCACCCTTCTGCACCCCAAACCGCTCAACCCCAGCCCCACCCCCAGCCGGAGCCCTCACCCTCCTGCACTCCAGGACCTTGCCTCAGCCAGAGCCCCCTCCCACACCCTGAACTCCTCATTTCTGGCCCCACCCCAGAGTCCGCACCACCAACCAGAGCCCTCACTCCCTCCTGCGCCCCAACCCCAATTTCGTGAGCATTCATGGCCCGCCATACAGTAACTCCTCACTTAACATTGTAGTTATGTTCCTGAAAAATGCGACTTTAAGCGAAACGATGTTAAGCGAATCCAATTTCCCCATAAGAATTAATGTAAATGAGGGAGTTAGGTTCCAGGGAAATTTTTTTCACCAGACAAAAGTGCTGTACATACACACACACACACACACACACACACATAGAGAGTATAAGTTTTAAACAATTTAATACTGGTGCACAGTGATGATGACTGTGAAGCTTGGTTGAGGTGGAGGAGTCAGAGGGTGGGATATTTCCTTTATTGCTAAATGATGAACTAGCAATTGGCTGAGCCCTCAAGGGTTAACTCTCTCACTCTGCAAGGCAGCAGGAATGGAGGGAGGGGAGACATCACAGACAGACACACACACCGACAGATATGCACATTTCCCCTTTAAGTACACTGCCTTGTTAATTAGATCAGCTTGCTGAGACCCGCAGCTGCTGCAAGCTCCCTCCGTCCTGAGCCCTGGTGTGTCCCCCCTGCTCTATGGAAGCTGGGGTAAGTGGGGTGCAGGAGCAGGGTGGAGGGGGACCCCTGACATTAGCCCCCCTCTTCCTTCCCTCCCCCCTGCACAGCAAGCAGGAGTCTCGGGGAGCAGCTCCAAGGCAGAGGGCAGGAGCAGCACATTGCAGTGGGAGGAGGGACAGCTGCAATTGCTAGCCTGCTGGGCAGCTGCCTCACAGGGAATTTAGGGGAGCGGGGAGCTGATAGGGGGAGCTGATGGGGGGCTGCCGGTCCACCCTGGTTCCAAGCCCCCACCAGCTAGCTGCAACGGGCTGCTCTTCCTGCAAGCAATAGACAAAGCAGGCGGCTGCCAAACGACGTTAGACGGGAGCATTGTACAACTTTAAACGAGCATGTTCCCTAATTGATCAGCAACGTAACAACGAAACAACGTTAACCGGGACGACTAAGTGAGGAGTTACTGTACAATTTCCATACCCAGATGTGGCCCTCAGGCCAAAAAGTTTGCCCACCCCTGATCTAGAGTAACACCAATAGCCCGCCAGCTTTCCTTTCCGATAGCCCAGCAGTTACAGCACTATCCTGGGACTCGAGACACCCAGGTTCAATTCCTGCCCTGCCCCAGACTCCCTGCATGACCTTGGGCTAGTCACTTTGTGCCTTAGTTTCCCACCTGTACAATGGGATAACAGCACTGCCCTGCCCCACCGGGCGGTTGTGAGGACAAACGCATTGAAGACTGAGGTGCTCAGATACTGTGGTGACGGAGGGGACCTTGTACGGCCCTAGATAGATTTATCAGGTTTACATCCCCCTGTCTGCGGTGAGCATGTGATGGTCATCACACCAGGGGACCGAACCACAGAAATCCAGAGCTGGAAGCATGAACGGCTACAGCTTGAGCTCAAGAACCAAGCCCCTGTCACTAAGGGCTGTTACAGACTAATATACCGTGTGGATCAACACTGAGAGGGACCCATAACACAAACTCACCACTGGTAACCCATACAGACCCATAGATGGCTCGGCCCACCCCGCCCAGCCCCCCGTGCTGGAATTGTGGAGTCCCCCTCCAGTGAATCAGAGACCTGCCACAAAGCACTAACTGAACCAAATGTAACAGGGCTGTCACTGGCACCTTGTGCCCTCCTTCAGGTACCCCGGGGCTACACGCAGCTGAATCCAGAGCTGAGCAGAGCATCCATTTCAATAACTAACACTCTAAATACACAGCCCCGGGCGTTCACTTCAGTGAATATTCTGGGGGTTTCATGTTTACGTATCTCCCAAAAGAATTCAATTACACCATAAAATAACCACATGAAAGAGAGGGCACACCAGAACCCACGGGCAGTTCAGCTCAACAGGCTCTCAGAGCAGAAACTCTGCAACATGACACAAGGATCCGGTAACATATAATTTTGCTTTTTAACGTATTCTGCGGGTTGGACTTCTCTTGTTTATATGCTTATTTTGGGGGATTATTTAAGGTCTTGGGAGCCAAACTGCGTCATCCTGGCAAGACTGGACCATTTATTTTAAGTGATTTCCATCTACTGTGGAGTTCAGATTGTATTATTACTATAATACTTTTAGACTTGGAGATGGGGAGTTTGTATATATAAACAGAGGTCAGATTTTCAAGCTTTGGTGCTTAAAGCGAGACACCTAAATCCGTATATAGACCCCTAACTAATTGGCCTGATTATCAGCAGGCAGAATGTCCATAGCTCCAGCTCTCTGTTTTGAATTTGGTCACCCTTTGCTGTGCAGCCTGTGGAGCCGCAACATAGCTTCATTTTTTGGTGCTCATCTGTCTTAATTGATTTTGGGGTATTTTAATTTCCGATTGGTCAGTTTAGTCACACAGTGGGATATTTTCCAAATGCATTTCTTTTGAAACAAACACAAAGAAAACCAATAAAAGATTCAGCTGAAAATTTCAAAGGTTAAAAAAAAAAAAAGTCCTGTTTGAAAACGTATGGAATGAAAACCCCTCCCCAAATCTCTGCAATTCCCAGTGATCTTGAAGGCAGAGTGGGGCCAGTCCATTTAAAACAAACAAAAAAATCTCCTCAAAGTTTCTAAATAACTTTTCTGCAACATAGCGGCATGTGCAGGGGTAAGGACTGGGATAAGGTATTATCAGCCTGCATTTGAGACCATGCATAACTCACTCATGCACAACACATCCATCCCCGAATCATATCAATAAAGCCCTTTATACATGCCACTCTCCCCCTGCTGCCCTCATTCCCCCCACCTCCATGCTGCACCCCAGTCTCACTAGCAAGGCAAAGAGAGAACATCCCCAGGAGGCCATGATACCATTCCCCCCTCGGGTCCCTCTCCAGGCACGGTTGCTATGGTGCTTGCCTCATCAGAGCAGTTATCTGCTCACATTATCAAACAGGGGCTGATTGCTTAGAGGAAAAGCAGTTTTCTCTCTGGACAGAGTGATAAGGAGCAAGAGTTTCCCCTCCTTATGTCATGCCCTTATCACGAGGACTGGGCCATGTGTACTGCCATTGATTGGGGGGGTTGGAAGGGGAGGGGACAGGGGCTGGGACAGCCAGCAGGCAGGAGATAATGTTATTCCAGCTCCCGGCAGCAGTTTCCCACCAGTCAGTGGGAAGCGAGTCAAAGAAAAGAGAAAGTATCTGTGGGCTCTGGCAGCTGGGTTCTGCAAGGGCTGGGATGCTGAGCACAAACCGCTCTGCACAGAACCAAAAAGGAAGTCAACTTGCCATGTGTCTGTCTCCTTGGTAAATGTGGAATGCATCCCCCGGGGCTGAATTCGCTGGAAGGCCTGGGCCCATCCAGATGGGACACTGGAGAACCAAAGCACATGCCTCTGGGGTGAGTCACCAACAGAAGCATTCTGCTCCTCCCAGGCACTGGACACTCAGCCTTCCTGGCAGGGGCAGAGGTGCAAGACACTTTGCGTGCCATGTTGCTTTGCTGGTTTAAATGCACTGAGATTTTGCACACATTTCACACCCCAAAAATTGTTCTATTTGCTGCAGCATGTCCTGAAACGGAGTAATGAACAAGTCTGACTAGAAGTCAGTGCGGCACCCCAGCTCTGCCAGCACTGCTCCGCACTCCCAACATACCTGTCTTTGACCTGCAGCACCCCCTGCTGGTCCATTCTGCTCTTTACCATCCCCCCTGTACTTCACTATCCCATTTCTAAGCCCCTCTTCCCTCCCCCCGCAGCTTCTCACCAACACATCTCATGCTGAACTGCATCACCCCCTGCCATTGCAGACTTGGGCCCCACTAACAGCTCTGCCAGTCATCCTCAAGCCTCAGCTACCACACCCTCTCCTGCAGTGGTGCAAGGAGCTGTGATCGACCCCACCCAGCCCCAGGTGGCAGTGCAGGCGTGGC